CTTCATTTTTTAATTCTGGGCATTCTGGAAGTTTCCAAATTGAATATTCACGGGTACCTACCGGGTATTTGGGGTTGGTAAAATTAGTGTTGGGGACTTCTGGTGCAGGGAGGTCTTCCATGGTTCGGGTTTTTAGCGTGGGACTCTTGTCTAATATTCTAGCGGGACGTTTCACAAGAGTGACATCCACGGCGTCAATTTATAATTGTTACGAATAGTATTTGAATAAAAATATTTAATCAGGTAAAACCCCGGCGTTGCCCGGGTCATTCGGTTAGTTAAATTTTGAAAGCGAAAATTTCATTTTCAAAAAGTGACGAATTCACTCTTAAAATGCTTTATAAGAAAATAATTACCATTTGTTAAAACAATATTTTTAGGAAAATATTCTTGTTACAAAATCACTTTATCAGGTACCGCTCAAAAAGAGCAACCTAGTTTATGATATTTGCAACAATGAGAAATATATATGAATGTTATTCACATATTAAACAAAATGTTATAGCGGGATTAGATCCCGGTTCATGGCTGTCGGGAATCGAGGGTGTTACCTACTCGTCCACCGGCTCTTTTCAGGCAAATATCCACTCTGGCAAAATCTAAGCATAGTTTTATTATTTGTGAAAAGTGATGATGATATTGTATTAATATTATCATTATCTTTATTATCTATGTAAATTTTAAAATTTGTCTTTTTCGCGCAATAATTATCGAAAAGTATACTGAATTTATTTTCTTGACTATATAAAAATTGGTGCTTGTCACTATTCTTAAACAAGACTCTTAAAATGATCATTTGAAAATATTTAATGTAGTTAGCTGTGAATGTATAGATTAAGTAACCTGCCATTCAAAACTTAGTACAGTTAAACCTGTTTATAGCGCCCCACTCTTGGGACTCACCAAAATAGGGTGCTATAGACAGGTCACTTTTAATGTATATCGCATCGTACCACGTATTAAATATCGGGCGCTCTAGAGAGGGAGGCGCTATTTAGAGGGGGGCGCTATAGACAGGTTTAACTGTATTAAAACGGGCTTCTCCCCGAGTGAAAGTTTCTCAGACTAATATTTATTTATTAAATGTTATTTATGATAATTCGAAACTTTTATAGACGCGTAAGATTCTTTTAAAAATTAAACAATTTCTACTTCCCTTACTGTAATGGAAAAAATAATGAGAGGACCTGGTTATTTCCATTGCAAGTAAAAGCATTAACTGTATTTGACAAATTTCATTTTTTTGTATATTTTGGAGTTATAAAACGATCATGACTATCATATAATGACTCAACTTAGTTCGGCTTCTCCCCGAGTGAAAGTTTCCCAGACTAATATTTATTTATTAAATGTTATTTATGAAAATTCGAAACTATTATAGACACGTATGATTCTTTTAAAATTTAAACAATTTTTACTGCCCTATTTCCATTGCAAGTAAAGGCAGTAAAAATTGTTTAATTTTCAAAAGAATCATACACGTCTATAATAGTTTCGAATTTTCATTACAGATGGCGCGCTAATGCATCATTATATGAATGTTATTCATATTAAAAGCTTTTATACAACTTGCCTCCATGTCTCTCTAAAAATATTGTGATCGATTTTTAATATATTTATAGAGCACGTAGAAATCTGAAAATTTGAACACTTATTAGAACCTGATGACAATGTATGTTAACAAATTTTCAGATTTCGGGGTTGTCCGAATAGCCAGGAACGGACAGATTTCCAAATTGCCTTTAAAAATTTTCAAATTTAATTTTAATATGTTTCCAGATTACATAGAATTATTAAACTTTTAACACTCGCTTAGTCCAATGAATAATGCAAGTGTATGAATATTCAGACTTCCTGTTGGTCGGAGTGGCCAGGAAAAACAAATTTCTATATTTCTTTTTAAATCTTATGTGTGACTCGAAGTGAAGTCGGAAACTGTTGGGAGTTGCGAATTAACTTTTTCAGCGATTGTTCAAGATCCCAAACGAGTTATAAATCCGAATATTCAGGTTCCTATTTAATACCAAGAAAAATGCTGTTGAAAAAACATTTAATAAATATGATAATTCGTCTGATATAATTTAGTAATCTGATTTCAATATCATCACGCATATATTTATATCCTTTTATTTATATATATATATCTATAAAAATTAAATCCAAAATCGATGTTTGTTATCGCGTTGCGCAAAATCTACAGAATCAATCATTATGAAATTTCGCATATAGGTAGCTGAAGATTTCGTTTAACATATGGGCTATTCAAAAACCAAAAAGGTTAATGTGCTTTTTTTATGTAAAACCAAAAAGCGTTAGTTCCAGCCTTTTACCGCTTGGCGCAGCACTGGTCGAGATGATAAATTGAATTTTCTGGTTGAATATGCGACAATAAACACGTCCAGAATTATATCTAACTCCTGTTAAAATTTTAGCCAGATTAGGTACTTATTGATTTGTATAGCCGACAATCATATATACATACACTGACTCATATATAAATATAGATAAGAGACATAATATATATAATATTTTCAATATACATTAACAATATATAGCGCACACTTTTAAATAGCGCCTCCCTCTCTATAGCGCCCGATTTTAAATACGTAGTACGATGCGATTTACATTAAAAGTGACCTGTCTATAGCACCCCCCCCCCCCCCCTCTATAGCACCCTATTTTGGTGAGTCCCAAGGGGAGGCGCTATATACAGGTTGCTTAATGTTGCATTGTACTATTCAAAATCGGGCGCTATAGACAGGATTAACTGTATATATATACATACATACATTGATGGCTTTTACTGGCTTATACATACATACTGGCTTTTGTTTTCTGCTCGAATGAATGTTTTTTCTGTTAGAATTTTGTTCCTGCGTACAAAATAATGAACTGGTTTCACCCGTGGTCTCTGCTTTTTGGAATTTTTCCCGATATAATTTTGTATCTGATAATCAAACAAGATACAGCAATATCGTCATCATCATTTTCTGACTAAAAACATATAGTTTTAATAATTGATTTATATATATTTTTTAAATAGCCTATCGTCTTCCCCGTGTTTTTTTTTTTTACCTAAGTATGGAAATTTTGGTTTGAATTAGTGAACTACTGCGAATTTGTATACCGGACATACAGACAAACAGACAAACATACAAACATTCATTTTTATATATATATAGATATATACTATACTTTGATCGTAGCTAAAAGGCAGAGAAGATATATTTTATACATAGAGATGAACTAGCTTCGTGTGTCTTCTCCTCGAGTGAATGTTTTACTGGATGGATTGCTAATCCATTTCCTAATTGAATTTACTTAAAACCAAATATATATTAATGCGAAAACTGATTATCATGATATAGGTTCTCACATAAATATTTATCTATTCTACCAACGAATATGATAACATCTGCTACCCTATATTATCATATTTGTAGAACGAAATTTGACAATTATACCGCATTTGTTTCTTTTGAACGAAACATCGAAATTTATTTTAAGGAGAAATAACGATTATTTCTAATCTTTGGCATGAAGTATGATAGGATGAATTGTGAAGAGTAATGATAAACGGAAAAATAAAGTATCCAGGAATGAGAAATTAATCATTACTTTTCACAATTCACCCTATCATACTTCATCCCTAAGATTAGAAATAATCGTTATTTCTCCTTAAAATAAATTTCGATTTCTCGTTCAAAAGAAATATTTATGGTATAATGGTCAAATTTCGTTCTACAATCATAAGCTGCATTATATTGTATTATAAATAAATCATTTTTAATCGTCATATAAAAGCGATTTATATAAATTTAACGATTTTTCTGAATTTTTGTAAAGCTTGCTCAATCATGATGACGATTCATTTTTAAATGAAACATACGCGTCTATAATAGTGTCAAATTCTCATAACAGATGGCACGCTAATGTATCATATTATAATTCAATTATTTGAAATATGTTTCATATTTTAATTAATAGAATCATGACCCATTTTTCCTGACGAGGAAAACATATTTTTGTCAAAACGTCAAGAGAATGAAAATATTTACTAGAGAAAGTGTTTTTAATTTAAGAAAACAAAGAATAAATTTGATTAAAATATTACTCATAAGTAGTAAAAGCAAAACATTTAACGACATTTATTTGTAAATGGTGCTACCCAATATGCAGAATATTTGCGGTGAAGCCTAAATATAGGCTTTAACCAAACCATCCAAAAATCTCTATTTTTCCATTTTTCAAATTATTTCTATTGAAATCTCAAGTTATATTGATATTATATGATCTTTTATATTGTAACTAGACGAATGGCCCGGGCAACGCCCGGGTTTTACCCGAGTGCGTATATATTTTAAAAACGTTTTAATTCAAATACTATTCGTTACAATTATAAATTGGCGCCATGGATGTCACTCTTGTGAAACGTCGCGTTCCAAACTGTGTGTTTTTAAAACGTTTTAATTAAAATACTATTCGTTACAATTATAAATTGGCGCCGTGGATGTCTCTTTTGTGAAACGTCCCGCCCCAAACTGTGTGTGTCTTGAAAATATAAAAATAAAAATGTGAATTTTCATAAAGATTATATCATGTCGATTTTTTTTTTTTGCATTTCACCTACTAAATCGATAGAGATAATTACATTTGCAAAATGAACTTAGGTATATTGACTAAATAGAAAACTGCATAGTAATAAAGATCATTTTTTAAAGGCACCATATCGTTTTTTTTTTCAATAAAATCGAAACGAAAATTAACGATAAATAACGATAATTGCCTTTAAAAGAAATTGCCTTAAAAAAAGAAACATTCGCGGTGATTTTGTCTTGCATTCGTTTATACAATTATTATATACGAATGACCCGGGCAACGCCCGGGTTTTACCCGATTAAATGCTTTTGTTCAAATACTATTCGTTACAATTATAAATTGGCGCCGTGGATGTCATTCTTGTATAATATATAAATGAGTTTTAAAAATTGTAAAAAAAAAGCATCGGCCGGGAATCGAACCCAGGCGTGGCAGGCGAGCATTCTACCACTGAACCACCGATGGTTATGAAAAATCCCATCCGTGAGCTTCAGACAAACAAACAGACAGAATAAGGCGAATATATAAGTAGATAACATTTTATATTTTATAAAACAGTTGACCTTGGATAATTCGAAGCTCAAGGGTAAAAAAAATCGATTTATCCAAAAATTAGAATTAAAAACGGAAATTCTATTTATAGGATATTCTAGGGATCAAGATAAATATTCGAATTAAAGACATTTTGGAATCATAGACGTTCGAATTATCCAAGTTCTATTGTATAAATAAATTTGAAAATAAATATGAAATGATGATAATAATAATATTATTAATTGGAACTTCATTACTACTAATTATAGTTATAATATATGTGACATAATAATGAATATCATTTCTTAAAACAATATTCGCCTGACAAAACATTAATTATATATTTAATTAAAGATCTTCAAATTATCCAAGTTCTACTGTATTTTATTTTCACATTAATTTGATAATTAAAAGAGAAAGATCAAATATTCAATATTACCTAAATTAGATAGGTTTCTATTTTAGTTCTGAAAGGCATTTTATTGTATGTCAGTCACAATTAACTCTCATTCGATCTTATAACTTCCCAATATCGATGAAACCACTCTTTCTAAAAAAAATAAGCGACCATTTGTTTTCCAACACTTCGAGCTCTGCGAAATATCTTAGGAAGAAGTGATTTTGAAAAGCACCAAAGAGTTGATTGCCGTTTTGTTTCTGGATAAAAAATGTAAATTCAATATTCGACAATTCTAATAATATTAAAAACAGCTTTTGATTTGCCTTCATAATATTTTTCAACATAAAATTACACTATTTAACGCGAACAAGTTTTTGGTATTCAGTCAAGCTGTGAGGTACCCATCTACTAACAAGTTTTCTGTATTTTATATGATAATTAATGATGGTGTTCATTTCCGATCCAATGTCCACACCTTTCACTAACTGCTGATAGGTATTTCTTCGATCTTCTCTAAGTAAAATTCTTACCAGCTCAATTTTTTCTTGGATCACTGCTGTTGGTGGACGAACTGAACGAGGTTCATCTTCAAGGTTGTTTTTCCCAAATTTAAATTCATTAAACCAATTAAAAACTGTTCTAATAGAAGGAGCTTCATTTTCTGAAGCTTTCATCAATCTTTCATGTGATACTTTACAAGTTATATTACTTTAATAATCATAAAAGATCATAGCGCGTAAACGTTCTCTAGTCAACTCCATTGTGTTTGATGCAATGTTTAGAAATCACCGCTACCGCTGTAAACAAAGTCGCGCATTTATGAGTCGTTGTTACTATTTTATGAAAATGTTTGTGTTAGGTAAAAATTGCATGTAGATTTTAATAGTATAATATATTTTTAAAATAATTTAATTATTTAATAATGATTACAAAAACTTTTGGAGTGACCCTTATGACCCTGTATTTATTTCATCAAAATGATTTGTAATAGTTAAATTAGTAAATGTATTAATTAGTTTGCAACAAGCGCTTTTTTCCTCAATTAATTCAGAAATATATTTTAAAAAAGCAATTAATAATAATTATTAAAAATACATTCTCTTTAAACTCATATATTAATAAATGTCAATAAATAGTTCATAAAATGATCGACAGATGGCGTTAGTTGTAGGAAGAATGACACTAAATATGAACCTAAAGGACTCTGAATAGAAGATCACAGGCTTGTTTCACGGCGCATGCGTCACGTAGAAAGGCAATTGTTATCTACGACTTGTATATCACACTAACTCCATCTATCGAGAATTTGTGTAACTATTAATTGAATGTTTTTCTGTTAATTTACTTATATTAGATGTTTTAAAAAATTAGAATATATTTTTTAAATAGAAATTTAGGAATTAAAAAATATTTTTAATTATGTGTGTGGAAAAACACAATCTGATATTAGGAAAAAAGAGAATTTTTTAAAAGTTTATTAATCAACAAGGGGCGCGATATTGAAATATTTGCGCCTATTACAGAGGAAACAAAAACAAATTGAAACTTAGAACTAAAAATATTTACAAATTTACATGTATTAATCGACAGAGTTCATAAAATTTATATAGACATAGTGGCTGATGTAAGAAATTTAAATCATTTAGATCAGGGAACAATCGATGTCTCACTTCTGTAAAGTTCGGACAGTCATAGATAAGGTGAAGAGCAGTTTGTTCAGTTTCTCCGAAGGAGCAATTTAGTGTTTCTGATGGACTCTTTTATGTAAGTATTTCTGGAATTTTCCGCTTGACACCTTCTCTCATATAGATGGAAATTTGGCCGGGAATAAATTGATCTGAAGAGACAAGGATCGCCTCTCCCGTCAAAATAGGCGTCTGGTTTTAGACGTCTATTTTGACGGGAGAGGCGAACGTTGTCTCTTTATATCAATTTCCTCCCGGCAAAATTTCTATCTATATTTTAGCCATAGATATGGCCCAGCCACTTTGCCAGCTAAACACCTCTTTGGCAGATTGTCAAGATTCCATTAGATCCCGTGTGGATCTCATGGAATAAAGTTCACCCTAGACTGACGAGGGACATTAGCCCGAAACCATGGTCTCTAGGTGGACGCTATTCAGTTTGCCAAAGCTGGTGTTGTGGCTTTGTCACCGACCCGAGGCCGCTAGTTGCGGCGACGGTCAATAGATGGCGTCTGGTTGCAGACGTCTATTTTGACGGGAGAGACGACCCATGTCTCTTTAGACCTTCTCTAATGTTATTATTAGAAAAAGTAACAATTGTTTAATAAAATTTATATCGTCATTAATTTTTTTTTTCATATTTATCTCTGAATCAAAGTTATACAAATCGAACTCTATATGCTTATTCTCATATTCAAAGGTTTAAATTATTAAACTGACTCCTCTCATACACCTATATGTAAAAATAATAATGGCATATCCTGACCAAGAGCACATGTGCTTTTTTGATGACAGAGCGTCATCTAGTGGAACAGAAATCAACTAAACATTGATTTAGCCTGTTCTCTGATATTTGGCCAACTCATTTTCTTTATGAATCAAGAAAAGCCATCCACGAACGAGCCTCTGGGACCAAAAAGAATTTTGATTGCAGTGGTACAGCCTGATCCACGCTGACAAGCGCCAACAGCGCGAAACGCGTTCGTGGATGGCTTTTCTTGATTTATCAAAAAAATGGGTTGGCCAATTATCAGGTTAAATCAATGTTTAGTTGATTTCTGTTCCACTAGATGGCGCTCTGCCATCTGTAAAGCACATGTGCACCTGGTCTGGATTTTCCTTCTTCATTATTTATATCAACACCTGACCATTTTTATTTTATTTTTTCTACTATTTATTCCCATAGACCTATATGTAGCAAGGGGCTATAGATAGGTAAATAGATTTTTTTTATTCCATATCTTTTGTACTGAATTATTCCTAGTTAATTTAAGTGTTTTAATATAGATTTTAAAGTGTATATTTATAATATAATTGTTAAGTTTTTATGTTTTCATGTTAGTATTCGTTGTGCTCTACATTTGTCAGTTGTATTCTCACATAACATTAAAAGATATAGAATTAGTAATGGATAGAGTCATATCTAGAAATTCCATATGTAACATGAAAATTTATCTGAAAAAAAATACATAGAAAATATTTGAAAACATTTTTAAAAATGTAATTAATGGATATTATATACCAATCTAAATAGATTTATGAAATTAAAAATGGAATCTGGGTTAGAAAAGATATTATAATAGTGAAATCATTCATAGATGGCACGTTCTTTTATTTAAAATAATGCATGGATAATTTTAATCTAGTTCGTCAACGATTTGAAACATATTGTAAGTATAAGAGTTCAAGGCATGCGAGGATGCGTTTCTTAAAGATTTTAATATGGGCGAGCTTTCGGGTTATCAACCCTTCTACAGGACAACATATCTGAGTAAAAGTGCATCTTATATACATATCCATATTGAGAAAATTAGCATATATACAAGAAAACTATAAACATATTAACATAATTGGTGAAAAAGTAAAATAAGAGAAAGCTGCGTGTTCTGAGTATGCTAAGAAGTAAAATCAAAAATAGTTGTACAAAAGGATACGGTTGAATTTAAGACTGCAATAGTAAAACGATCCGAAATAAAATAAAATAAATAAAAATAAAACATATTGTGCTTGTTAGTATAAACCTAATTACTACAAAGCAGACCAAAGCTCAACTCAGAGGAGTCCTTCTTCACCATGACAATGCAATACCGCACACCTCATCCCAAACATTAGAATTTTCAGCCAACTCTGGTGTCCAATTAGTCACTCATCCACCATATTCACCAGATCTAGCACCTTGTGACTTTTTTTTTCTAAAAGTTGAGCTATTGTTGAAAGGGATAAAATTTGACACTGATGATGAAGCACTGCAAGCCTTTATCAATGCCGTAAATGGTTTTCACGGATGAAACTTTACTTAGGTGCTAAGGGTGGATACTCTAAGAAACTCTGAAAATTTGAAGTTTCAGCTTTAATAAAAATAAGTTATTGTAAAATTTTTGGAGCGACCTTCGTATATATATATATACTAGACGAATGGCCCGGGCAACGCCCGGGTTTTACCCGAGTGCGTATATATTTTAAAAATGTTTTAATTAAAATACTATTCGTTACAATTATAAATTGGCGCCGTGGATGTCTCTCTTGTGAAACGTCCCGCCCCAAACTGTGTGTGTCTTGAAAATATAAAAATAAAAATGTGAACGGAAAAATATGTCCAGGGTAGCCTAGTGGTCATGGCATCTGCCCGGTAAGCGGAAGGTCGTGGGTTCGATTCCCATCCCTTGACACTTTTTTTATTTTATCCATTCTGACTAAAATCTATCCGTGAACTTCACACAGTGAACTTCACACAGAGAGAATAAGGCAATTATATAAATAGATAATCCAAATTGTGCCTTATCACACACTATTTTTTTATTTGGCCTTATTACCTTGTGTTTAAAATCTATGACGTAATGGCGGCG